TGCTTGTGCTCGATGTACTTCGCGAGTCGATTGATTTTGCGCCTCGACAACTTTTGGATTTAGGGGTTTTGGTGTGGGAGCCTTTCCCGGTGTTGGCGAGGGTCGGCTTAGGACGGATGGTGGCAGTGGTAAGCATGCCGGTGATAACAGTCGCAGAAGTGGTAGTTGCAAAAGCAGTGTGGGGTGGCTGTCGTGGCGGGGATGACTGGTCTAGTAGCAATGGTGGTAGTAGTAGTAGTAGTAGTAGTAGTAGCAGCAGCAGCAGTAGAAGTAGTAGTAGTAGTAGTAGTAGTAGTAGTAGCAGTAGTTGTTGTCGTAGTTGTAGTTGTAGTAGTAGTAGTAGTAGTAGTAGTAGTAGTAGCAGTCGTCGTCGTCGTCGTCGTCGTAGTAGTAGTAGTAGTAGTAGTAATAATAATAGTAGTACTCGTACTAGTACTCGTAGTACAAGTAGTCGTACTAGTAGTAGTCGTAGTAGTAGTAGTAGTAGTAGTAGTAGTAGCAGTAGCAGTAGCAGTAGTAGTAGTAGTAGTAGTTGTTGTTGTTGTTGTTGTTGTTGCTGCTGTTGTCGTAGTAGGAGCTGCTAGTAGCAGCAGGAGTCGCAGTCGCAGTAGCAGTAAGTAGCAGCAGCAGTCGCAGTAGCCGTTGCTGCGGCAGTTGCAGCAGCACTGGTCGAAGCCGTAGTTGCAGTAGTTGTCGTCGCCGTCGTAATAACACGGACCTGAACCCAACCACCGTCACTACCGTGTAAGTCCACTACAGAGTCCAACCACTAACCACTACATCCACTAGCGCCTGATTCCCAAATACATCTCCCAAGTCTCAGAACCCAATGCAAAGCACAAGACCCAAACCTGAGACAAGCTGCCACTTCACTTTGTACTCGCGATCCTCTGCATTGAGGAACGGTTGCAGTCGGCCCTGAGTCGTTTTCGGAGAATTTGGGGCTTAGGATTCATGGCCGATACTTGGAGACTTAGCAAGTCGGTCATGCTTGGAGTTCTTGCAGTATTTACCCTGACTGGGCTAACTACTTACCTTACTAAGTGCTCTGCACACCTAAGTAGGCTCATGTTTTCTGGGCTTTAGCTCCGAGTTTGGAGTTGGGTTTGAAGTGAAAGTTTAAGAGCTTACACGATACGATGCATTTGTCCGCCTGCTGTCAGGAAGAGCTTCCCCTAGGATAGAGTCCTACCTAAAATGTGAAGCGTTTGTGGACACACATCCAGAGAACAGGTTGCCCTTACCTGCAGACACGTTCCTCTGCTCAGGCTAGTCTGGGTACAGCAGGTCTGACCTGCAGGAACTGCAATTCCTTTCATGCAAACACAATGTTGTGCTGGCAAGAAAACGAATGATGCTGGTACTAGTGCCAATGGAAACAGCGAGGCTCGAGAAAGAAGCCATGAACTTGACAGCTTCAACCGAAAGCCGGGATTAAGACTCTCACGTAGTTCTCTAGGGCACATCTGATGCCACGAAAGGCATAAGTAGGAACTACAAGCACAAGGACTACCAGTAGCAACCCGAAACTAAACCACAAACCATGCTTCCTGTCTGGAGCCCCGGGCGGCCCACATGTGCTCCCCGTCGATCTGGGAAGGGCACAAGCATTTCACACTTCGATTCGAACCCATATGAAAGCTTGAACCCTAGAAGGTTCTGGACTTCCAAATGTGTTGGGGGTTTACCAGGCCAGCTTTTCAGAGGTTGTGAAGAAGGAACTATTAGTTTGTTGTGATTGGTGCTATCCAAGGCAGGCGAGGCCAGAAGCTCTTGCTGCTTGCAATCTGGACTTGACTCAACCTCAGACAAGGTCAGTGAATGTACCTTGCTTCAAGTGCAGTATGCAACAACGCATGCCGTGTCAGCGGCGCCTGAAGTTGAAGCTCCTTGAATGGGCAGCCTCCGTTCTCTGTGCACATCCGCAGACACGGCTCAAAAATTGCTACATGCTCAAAGGTTTCGATCACGACGCAACGGCATCTGACATGTCTAGTACTTAACAACGCCAGCGCACCCACTTTGCTGCTGGTAGCTCGCCGTATGTCCGTGACAGACAGCTCCTTCGGAATGAGCGCCTGCCCAAGTTGTCCCATCATTTCCCATCTAATTACTTTCTGTTGGGTCCTCTTGCAGTGATGGGGTAACTCGGAGCGGTTGTGTTGCTTCGAGCCTCGGAAAGTCTGAGCAGGCAAGCCCTAAAGAGAACAGAACCCTGGGCTTAAAGGAGCTTTTGGAACCCTCAAAAACCTGATGGTTGTAGTGATCGGTGGTGCACGGGGGCTTTGTCCAGTTGCAACAGGTAAACATGACATTTTTCAGGAACCCCAGCAACACCCCACCGCGACAGCGGGGTTCTGGGGATCAGGTGCAGACGGGCGCAAGGTTTGAGAGCTTCGGGACGAAGGCTGAAGCCTCCAACGCAGAGACTCGAACACAGCAATTTTGGGTCAAGTGCTTATCTGCGTTGTAGTTTGCGAACAGATAACTCTACAAGATCATATGCCATGCGACTTAACAAAAAATCCGAAAATTCAGCCTGGTCTTGGGCCTTTCGTGTCTATAGAAGCATCCCCAACTCCTCAACCCTGGGTCGCCTAAGCCCCGTATGAACAAAAACGCCCCTGGCGGCAGATGGCGGCACCTTCACGCAGCGGAACTTTTCCGGAGCCTTGGAGTTCTGGAGAACGACCTCTTCCCAGAGAGGCAAGTACCACTCAATGAAGGCTTTGTGGGCTTTTAAACGGCTCAGGAAGCACTCACACGTGTTTGTGGCCCTTCGAGGAATTGATTTCGAATCATTAAGTCCTGTATGAGTTCATCAATTTTCTTGCACCCATACACCTTTATACACCCTATGCGGGAGTTTGTGAGAGAAGCAAGAGACCCTCAAATGTCTGACCATGGACGATCCTTACTTATTGTCAGCACACCCAGACTTAACAAAGCCTTCGCTGTAACCTGTAAATCCCTTAAACTCGAACCCCTAAACCATTAATTTTCGACCCTAAAGCTGTGAACCCCCAAAATCGACTAAATCAACGGACATTTGCACCACATATACCAACACCGAACTCTATATCATTGGACCATTAAATGCCATGAAAATCACAAAACCCTAGTTAAACCGTAAACCCTAGTCGTATCCCGTACCAACCTTGCAGCACCCTCTTGAAAATCCCCCATTGTAACCCCCGCAACAGCCTTCGAACAACTTACAACTCTCTGGAAGACCCTCACTGCCCGCAGACTCAAAACCTTATGCACCCAAGTCACGCAAACCCTAAACTTGAAACACCGGTGCAAACACCTGATCAAATCTTCCCATCTGAGAGTTCCGGTGCGTATCTTCATCGTAAAGGACCAAGACTGGAGTGATTTATGGATCAGGGAGTCTACTTTAAATTCTGAACATCAGAAATCCTACGCTGCACCCTGACACCCTACCTTTACGCCAAACCGCAACTCCTGCTGCAGAGCCACCCAGACTAGGCCCTCGGGAGTGTCTTTCCGCCTCTTTCCGTCCCCGTCCTCTTGCGAAGAATCTGTTTTTTTGGCCAGGCTGTGTACGTTCATATCTATATACAGGTTGTCTTACATGGGCAAATGTTTGTTTGCCTTCTTCTATTCATTTGTAGTTGTCTTTTTATCGGCCGATACCTTATACAGGCGGTTTTTCAGGGCTTCGGTAATGCATTCCAAGGTTTGGATTTGACAGGGTGAAAAGGATATATATATATATATGTATGTATATATATATATATATTTATATGAAACTGTATATGTACAAATGCATGTTTATACATATATGTATGTACAAATTAAAAATCGAACGATACAATTGTACAGTAGACAGATAGACAGACAGATACATGTAAACACAGATTGACCCAAAGCCGTAAAATCCCCAAAACAGCGAAGACCTACACCTAAGTCCCAAAGGCGTAAACCTTCCTTAATCACGGGCTTCCTTGGATGGGCCCCACTGAAGGCTTGAAGGAACCCACCGCTGACCAGATAGAACCTATAATCTTGACTGCCTATTGCGGTGCATTCCCTGTCCTCCTCGTCCTCCCCGGCGTCCACAGCATCGGGCCTCGCAGCGACTTATCTTACTTCAGATGCAGCATAACTGCACATACATGTGTACTCTATGTGTGTGTATACATACATATATATATATATACACGTATACATATGCTTACCAAGAAGATGCACGCAAGCTATATATGTGTATATAGATATATACATACATGCATAAATGCGTATCTACCTATCTACCCATCCATCGATCTACCTGGCAGTTGACCGCATCTATTTCTCTACCGGGGCAAGGTCCGTGTCAGCAAGAAAGTCTAAGGCGCAGAATCAGAAAACAGTCTGGGCGAAAGTCATCAACAGCACAGTCGCACTCGGCAAAACTGCGAGCTAATATCAGAGACGACCCAGTGTTTCACCCCCAGGTCTTTTTACAACCTCCAGCATCACCCTGATACCTGAAACCTATAACCTTCACGCTCAACTCCAAAAGCAATGCTTAATCCTCGATCCCGTTTTAATGTTTTGGATGCCTGTGTTGTGATGCGGGGTGGGTTTCTGGCAAGGGCTCAGGGCTCAGATTGCATTGCTTTAGGAGGAGCCTTAGTACTCAGAATAGGAGTCCTTTATAAGGGTCCAAGGTATCTAGGGTACGATAAGGGCATATTATAAGGGCAGACTATAGTATCTCTGTCTAGGGGATAGAAGGGGGAATATTGCTGCTAGCTAGTTGCTCTCGCCCCTGCATTACGGGTTTCGGCCTCAGATAAAGAGTTCACAGCGAGTGCCTGGTTTAGCATCAACTAATATAGGAGCCTTAATAATTAGCAAACGACTTTGTGGTTTTGCTTACAGTATAACTAGGCTTTGGCCCTAAAGGAAAGTTCTGGAAATTTGTTCAGACATCCAAAAACCTTTAGTTGAAAGAAGCGGGCCTTTGGGAATGAACCGGCTGCGCGTGTTATTCTTAATCCTTTTTCCGGCGGGGCTCCTCGCTATTCCAGGGACAGAAATGATGTTTGAAGGGCGTGTCTCAACACTCTGCTAGGATGTTAAACAAAGGGTCCAGATTTAAAGGGGCTCATTTTACGAGCCCCACCCGAAAAATATCCAAAACCAGAAAAAGCTCTCTGGTGTTGCTACCCTCCATGTCTCAGAGCCAGGCTGGTCCACAGTAGCATCTGCTGCCTGTGCTTGTAACTTGTTTTTTTCTTCTTCGCCGGCACACTCACAGCACTCTTCAGCTAAGACTGGCGACGCCACACACCCTACCATAAAGATTAAAGATGAGAAACCTTTCAGACTGTGTGGGATGTGAAACTGATAAGGGGAACTTGGTCTAACTTGCTTCAGAACAAGAGTGGCTAAACGCTTGACATGATGCGAGGCACACTGAACATGACAACTCGCCAAACCTTCCATAATTTAAAAGCCACACCACCCCTCGCATCCTGAAGGGCCTAAACCTGTAAACCGTAAATCCTCAAACCCCGTAATGAATGAACACCTGAGCCCGTAGACCATGAGCCCCAAAGCTCTTCTAATAAGGAGATCTGACGAATTTAGGAATGTTGTCGACCCTAAAGCCTAGATATTCATAGTAGAACCGACGAATACACCCGCCAGAAACCTCTCTCTCTCTCTATATATATATATATATGACCGTTGTAGTGCAGGTACCCTTGGCCAGAAACCTCTATTCTACTTGTTGAAAGCCGGGCCTCGGGGGAATGAGGCGTCGAGTCTTCCGGCGCCAAAGGAGTCTCCTTTCTATTGATGGTCCCTCCATGCAAGTATATGCACATGATTGCACATGCATATTATATACTCTAAGACCAATGTGTATATAACATACATACACAAACTACAAACAACATATGTCATATCACTAAACAAATGTGCAAGAAAATAAACTCATTTCGAAATGTTCGTGCGGAATGTGTAAGCCCCGGGCCCCTGGGTCTACCTGCCGGTTCGAGGTTTGGGGTTTACATGCGACTCAGGGCTTTAGGGTGCTACAGTTTCTGGACTTTAATGTTGAGGGCAGGGCAGAGTTGCCGTTTCCAAGGGAGGAAAAACTCCGACGGCTGCTTCCACCGAGCTTCCGCGCGAGTTGGAGTCCGGCCACGCTCGTCATCGCTCGGCTCTTCTGCGTCGGAGCGCATTCTCCTCGGCAGCTGAACAACACCACCCCGCACCCCAAAGCCGAAGCATGCAAGGCAAAAGCAAACAGGTGCTGCGCAAAGTGCAGGCACATAGGGCGGAGAATAAGCAAGGACCATCAGGGTTCCCCATTATGCTGCCGCATATAAACCCAACACTCCGCAGTAGTCTACTAATTAATTAAGATCCCTCTACTAGACCCAAGACCAGGTCGTCCTGGCGGCTGCTAGGCTGGCTGCACACGGGGTCACATAGAATGGATGCCATGAGCTGGCTTTGTTGCGTGGAGCGCTGGCCTGTAAATCAGGATGGTCAAGCTGAGTCATGCTGCACCCAAAGTTTGGATTGAGCCTGGTCTTGAAAACTGCTTGCTTGGATGACCTGCTTGGAAAATGAAGCAAGTAACAAGCTCATGTGCTTGATTCAAGATGGCTCAGCCAGGCCGGAAATCTGCACTGGCATCGCATCTTCTACATCCCAGAAACTCACAAAGTCAACCCAAAACCGGAAATCCCCACATGTCGCGAACGAACTAACTGTCTGCTTGTGGTTCCTACACAATGTAAATGTGAAACATGCTTGCAGAGCGGCATGTCTCGCCTCCAACTATTCTCAGATCAGAACCCGCCGGGGCTCTCTCCACATCGCGTTCTACGGTTAGTCATCAAGGCCCAAATCATCCCTCTGTCCTATCGCCCGCATTCTCTCCCGTATCAACCCGTACACCCTAATGCCTGAGTCCTCAATTTCAAAACACTCTTCTATGTGCCGTACAAATCCTAAGTCGTAGCAGCCCTAAACACGCTTTCTGACGCTCGGGTTGACCAGCGGAATCTCTTCGCCGCAGGTAACAGCGGTCAGCTCCGCCCTTCGAGGGTGCACGGCTCGAAACTCCTGGTGCCCATGAATGGGTCGGTCGAGACGCATCAGGATTTATATGCTTATGAAAGGCTTGTTTTTTTTTTGTGTGTCTGTGTGTGTGTGTGTTTTGAGACGCCACAGGAAAGGCCGAAATACATTTGGGCAAGAGCATATTCCTCTGCAGAAGTTTGCGTTGACAGATGGTGCTTTGGGTTCGGGTTGTAAGTATTTGGTTTTACGAAGCGGAATTCAACGGGTGGCACTAAATTGTCAAACCTTTCTGAAGCTCCTTCGCCAATCCACTGGACTTGCCAATGGATGGAGGGTTGCGGCTTGTGTTGGTAACGCTAATCATAAGCAACTCGAACGAACCCCGTAAACCGTTTATGAAATTGTTATATGAACCTCGATATGGGTAAGCTTAGAGTAAACTCAAGAATGCTGTAAGCCAGATCAAGGACAATCAGTGCTGGGATTCCCTTTACATTGCGCTTAAGGATTGAGGCTCTTGGGTGTCCAGGTTCCATCATTACGCACGCCTGCTGGGTCCCATTCCAATTCTTTGTTCTGACATTGAGGTGTTCCTAGAAAACGGCTTCGCATCCTCCAAGGCTTTCCTGCGAATCTGAACGTGGGAGACTGCGACCTTCAGCCTGTACCGGGAGGTAGATACCAGGTAGATTCGGTTAGGGTAGCTATATATACCCTCAACCCCGAAGCCCTGAAACCCTAAACCCCCCTCAACCCGGCACCCTCAATGAAGCATCAAGACCAAAGCCGTAAGCACATCATAATTGCCAAGCCATACCTTAGATACCCGAGAACAAGATGAAGGCAGTGGCTCTCCTCGTCTTCAGCTCATGTCCAGGCAAGTCTTCCTTTTGCACCTGCACGGAGTGAAGCTGCACTTGCATCTACGAGTAGTATGATAATTCATCCGAAATACTAGGATTCAAAGAAGGACCCTAAACCCGTGCTACGCGCCAGGATTACGCCACAATGCAGCTGCCAAGTCGGCGACGTTGTCGATGTACTGAAACCCCTTGAACTCAGTTTAGGGCTTGGGGTTGAGGACATCGGAGCAGATCAGTCAGTGCACTCTCAGCACTCCTGAGTGTCCTCTGGTACAGTAGGAAAGAAGCATGGAACAGTTGGGCTGCATTGATGAAGAAGCAAAATGTCAATGAGCCTCAGGCGGGTGGCAGAGCGGCAGCTGTTAAGATCATGTCTTGAGAGCACGCATAGCTGCATAATCATGATATCTGTCCTAGGTCAGCGCAGGATGCCCCGCCTTGCACCGCTGCTACGTACAGGAGCCAGGAATTGACACCAGGAAACTCCTACCTCCAAACCACCCCCAAACCAAACTAAACCCTTTCACATCTGCTTGCCAAGCTTTGCTTGAGTTCTTGGACCAGTAGCACTGGCTCCCCAAACCCCAAACCGAGGACCCCCACGTCCCCAAACCCTTACAATTAGCACCCAGGCAGCATGATCCCCCGCAAAACCCTTATACGACACAACCTACAAAGTGTTGAGTTGGACAACTCTACGAAGCCCCACCTGTAACACCCTTTTAGTATAACCATGCGCAACCCTACAGAACCCTTTGAGCGCATACTCAAACAGCCTAAAACAGCCTACTATACAAAACCCATATTATTTGTGATACAGTTCACAGCACCATGGCAAGCATGACTTCCGAAACCTGGCCTACAATCTTCGGCAAGGCGATGTTGTCGCATGGGGCCGGTGCAGGGCATCACGGGTTGTTCCCTCAGAGCATAGAGAGCTTGTATATATAGCTCTCGTAGGATCTCATACGCTTTCGTAGGGTTTGGTAAGGTCTTTAACGTGTCTTTTAGGATTCAATGTAACATCTTTGACAATTAGTCCAGGGTTTTGGGATTCGCTGTACTGTAAGTAAGTCTAGAGTAAAAATAGGACAAAACAGGCACATTTCTGTTGCCAGTAGCTGCTCAAACCTTTAGAGTTCGTGTCTTTCCTAGGATTTCACAAAATAACCCTCTACACGTTTCTATAACACATCATGTGATTTCTCAATTTAAGTCAGGCTTTACGGCTTTAGGAGGGTTTTGGGATTCGCCTTTCGGGCTTTATGGCTCAAAGTTCAAAGTTTTCCAAGGGTCAAAAGGTCTAGGATGGTGCTTCTTCTTACCTGGAGGCCTTTGTTGTTTTTGTTCTAAGTTCTGAGCCAGGCCAGACTTCAATAAAGTTGCATTGCAGTTTGTGTATGTGGAAGGGCCAGCAGCCGAAGCCCTAAATCCTCTGCCTCCTAGGCCCTCAATCCCTCTCCTCGATAACCCCTAAACTCCTAGAACCCCTAGGCCCGAAACCAAACCCTGAACTTCCCAAACCACTAAACCGTAAACTCCTAGCATAGGAGTGGGAGTTTCTATGCGCTAAGAATTTCAAAGGACCCTTGGGATTGCAATCTTGTTCTTCAGGCACCTATACTCCACTTACTACACCTCCAAATCGTTTGAAAAGCTCAGCCCGAGCTTCTGGCGAAACATGCCTTGGAAGGCTCGAAGCTTTGAGGCTTGACCTGCGAATGTTGAGGCGCTAGGGGCTGCAGCGTTGCTTGGGGCTTTAAGGCTTGAGGCTTGAGGGCGTTGGGGCTTTAGCGTTGAGGACTCTTTATGGCCTCGAAGCTGCAGGATTTGAGGGTATCAAAGCCTTCACAGTTTGTAAGTTCATGGTCTCTGAGTCTTTGGGGCCTGAGCGTGGTATGTCTTACGGGGACTGTGGCTATGGGGCTTGAATAGGGTTCAGATTTCGGGCATCATTACTACTTTGTGCTACATGGCTGACAAGAGTTACTTGTTGCCATCATTACTGGTAGCGGACTACATCTGCATTCGCATACGCTCGCTGGTGGGCTTCTTCTACTCTAGTGACCGAAACTGATGGCCGTGAGGAAGCAACATACCGGCAAAAGCGGGGAACGACATACTGGAAGCGAAGGGCGACCCGCCGCAGCGGCAGCAGCAGGTAGCACCAACAGCAGAGGTAGCATAAGCCCCTTCAGTAAGCCAAGAACGAAACCAGTTGGTCGTCATCACCGTCGACACCGATGGCATTGTCGAGGTTATGCTGGTGGTAGAGAACCCAGAACGCACGATCGTTTAAACATCAAGCCGTGTGGTGGAAAACTGCAGTCTAAAACTGCGGCCCCTGTGTAAACACCCAACCTTTCGGGTGGCCGCAGGAAGAGGGCTGTGTGGAATCCAGAGCTCCAAGCAAAGGCCCTCACGTTGCGGCCTGGAGCCTGGTGCTCAAAGCTACTGCGGTCGGTGTGGTCGATTTGGGGTTACAAAGGCACGGGTTTCCACGACATACCACGCCAAATCTCGATCCCAGAAGTTCATGCAGAACCTGAAGCAACGTTCCGTTTCCACGGACAAAGCACGTGGCCCCTGTGATGGTCCGGTACTGTGCCCCACTCCACGAGGTGAACCCTAAACCGTAACCACTAAAAACGTCTAAGCCCCTCAAAGCTGGACCCTAAAACCGAAAACGCAAACCCTAAGCCCGCATCTGCGCCTTGACAAAAGAGGCCTCCCGGGCCACAATGGCAGACATCAGAGTGAGCAGATTCAAGCTAATGCAACATTATGGGCGGCTGAACAAGTGCCTCGCGGTTCATACCGACACCGGAACACCAGGGAACACTGTTGCTGGATATGCAGGACCGAAGTCGGAGCTACCAAAGCTTTTCACTCGACGGCATGGCCTTGCCAGCATCGTTGCCTTTCCAAATCATCGCCAGCGCCTCCGTTGTTTCGAAGCTCGAGAGTTGAGAACGCCGGAAGCACCACTGCACCGTGGTTACTTCTAGCAGACAAGCTCGCTCGGACCCGATCCTGCGTTGCCTTTGACTGCTGTAGATACTGCTTCCAACAGAAGTCGTAGCAGCAGTAGTAGGAGGACGTAGCTGTGCTCTCGCTGCTGCTCCAACTACCATCAATTACTACGACCAGTACTACTACTCCTCCTCCTGCTGCTATTTGTGCTGCTGCCACTCCCCCAGCTGGTCGCCAGTATCAGCACCACACGCTTCATTGAAATCATCGCCGCTTTCATCATCAGCCTCATGGGCAGCAGCAGCCGCGTCGTCCAAAAAGCTTCCGTCCCCACCAAATCGACATCATCGTTTTCTTCAGCATCATGTTCTTCCTCGTGGTTGTCGTCATCCTGATAGTTTTCACCTCCACCATAGTCCGGGTCGGGAAAGTCAAGGCATATCGTGTTGTCAGGCTGGCGAACAGCTGTTTCTTCCTTTCCGACGCTGAGCAGGCGGCCTTCAGGAAGGATCGGAGCCCGTAGACTGTTGTCCTCGGATGATGCTGCAGCTACACAGGCTTCATGAGGCGCGGTTCTCCAGAGTTCTCTGGGTTGCTCCAGGGCATGTTTCTGTCGGATTTTCCAAGCCCCAAGAGACGACATCATCTAAATTAACCTGACCGTGATGGACCAGTTTCAGTTTCAAGCTCGAGTGCGCCAAGCTCCGAAATCAGATTCCGTACATCACTGCCTGACACCTCTGTCTCTCTCTCACACACACACTCTCTCTCTCTCTCTCTCTCGCGGCGAAGAGTTAATCCACATCATGAACCAATTAGGAACTCAAGATGTATATTCACGCACGATCAGCTGGACAGGTAAGTAAACAGGGAAACATGCACAAACTCGTCAGCTGCTTGAGGCTTTATAAGCATCGACCACATCCGCAACTAAGACTAACATCACCATACCCCAGGTTACAAACATGGCAGGGCTTCAGGGTTGCGGGATTCTCGACTTAGATGCTGAAACTCTAACCAGGGAACCCGGATAACTGAGATGCGCCCCAAGACCAACAACCAGAAAGCCTTGTAGAGCTTATGCTCTGAACCTCAAGCCGGTAGCCAGGCAGCTGAACCCTGCCCCCGGGCGAAGCCTGCAGCCTCACTTCTCAAAACCCTCAGCCAGCGACGACTTGTATCAGTCAACCCTGAGCAAGTCGACAACACGCTAAGCCCGACGGGTTGGGCCCTGGGCACTGTCTTGGACGAAGGTTTATGTTTATGACACATGGACCTATTATTTGAGTTCTCCGTGAAACTAGAAGCCCTGCAGCATAACCCATCAACCCCCCAAAGGCCCCTTTTTTGCTTTGAACCCCTGAATCGCTTCTCCCAGGCACGCCGGACGCGCAAAGCCGGCTCGGTATCCTGCGGGAGTCAGGTGTAGAGTGATCTGGCTCACGGGGATGGACGTGCCTTATTGCCTCGTCCTTCATAGAGGCTGCCTACAGGAATTGCCTCAATTCGTCTGTATAGTCTTTACTAGGTGACCTGAACGGTTGTGAGAATATGTAGCCAGAGGGTTCCGATTTTCGCCCTAATCCCAACACTCTAAACGCCGTAAGGGCTCGTCTGAAGGATGCAAATTAGGCACTTCGGCTTCGAGAGTTTGGGTTTCAATCAGGGTTCATGGTTTGGGCTTGAGAGGCTGGGGTGTCCTGTAAAGGTATTCGAAAGATTGGGGCCGAGTTCAGGGTTCCGATGCTGATTGGTTGTGCAGGACTTCATACTCACGGTCTGACGGCATTGCTCGACATTAACCTTCCGGCACAGCCCTTACAGCTGCACAGCGTTGCATCCGAATACCCCATGGTCACCGTTCACTTCAAAATAAGTTTCGGAGGGCAAAACATACCATGACCTCTCAGCATGAATTATCAGAACCTGGCTTCCCGCCTCAGGTCTTAGTATTTGCGTTGTCCTTACTGTCGTGATTAATATGATCACCCTTATTCGTACTTCTATGACGGCTGTCGCTTTTCAGAAGTCATCGAATGATTTAATCAGGGTGTTTGCAAAGATTCCATGCGCTGCTGCGTTCCTTGCACCTCAAATACCCAAACCTACACCCAAGCTGATCAAAGACGGGATGCATTTCCGCATCCTTCCCACACCGTCCGAGTGAAGGTGCTGAGGGACGGCAAAACCGCAACTTAACATCCGAAAGCCATAAGAACGTGATGGGCAAACTTCTCTCGCATCAAGTCGCTGAGCCCCCCAAAGATGGAACTTTTTGGCCGGAGCCCTGCACGAAAGCCGAAAGGCTGAAAGCCCAGGGCTTGCCTCCCTAGGCAGCTGGATGCTGCGGAGATTCTTTGCCTGCCACCAGAAAAGGTCAACAGACAACCTGCTCACTTCGCGATGATCACGACGCTAGCACCAACGTCGTCGACACAGTCGTAGTGGTCGTAGTACGAGGAGGAGCAGCAATAGCGCGAGTAGTAGTAGTAGTAGTAGTAGTAGTAGTAGTAGGTAGTAGGGCTTTCCCCCGGGGCGATGCCAAGACCTATGATTGTTCAGACTTCATGCTGTCAGAAATGCATTGTTGTACAGCACTGTTTTCTCATTGTTGCTTCTTTTTGAAGTCGCGTGTTTTTTGCTTAGACTTTGAACATTGCTCTTCAATCTTGCAGCCCAAAATGCTGGTATTTACAGCACTCGTCTTCGAGATGTTTTTTGGGTTGTGCTTGAGTTCTGGACTTTCGTGCCCAAAAACTAGCGATTAGAATGAAGCCTTCCCAAGGCGTCTGGGAACAGAGCATCCATGCCCAAAACCTAATGACGTCCATGGTCTAGTGCATTTGAGAACAAAGCCTCCATGTCCAAAACCTAATGACGTCCTTGGCCTAGTGCGTTTGAGAACAGAGCATCCATGCCCATCCATGCCCAAAACCTAACGAAGTCCATCGTCTAGTGTGATTGAGAACAAAGCATCCATGCCCAGACCCTGATGGTGATGATGACAACGCTCCGCAACGGGCGTCGCAACAGGGGGAGAGTTAGTAGTAGTAGCAGTAGTAGTATCGTGTCGGGGTTACATCCAGGCAGCAGCTTTCACCTCACCCTTGGATTATGAATTACTCCTCTGATGCTTCTGGTCGGGTAAAGGCCTGCGAAGGCACGTGCCCGAGAGCTCATTAGACACCTAAATAAGGAAGATGTCTTGAAGTATATGCTATAATTACAGTGTGCGTATCTGACTCTGATGTACATGGGGAACAACTAATTCGAGCGAGTTGGCTGTGGAACTGAGACCCTGTCCGCAGCGCAGCGAAGCTTGCTTGTGCCCTTGTGAGGCAGGCCGCCTGTCAGCAGGATCATCTGATACACCCGCTCAGCTGCTCTGCGCTACATCCTAAACCTTACACGGGGTGGGTTGGGGGGTTTCAAGCGTGGCGGAAACTTGCTCGGATGAATCGGCATGTAAGCCAACCAGATGACCTTAACAAAGATAGGGGTAAGTGCAAAATCCAATAGTAAGCTCGAGGAACAAAAGCCATGAACCTGCAGCGCGCCTGGGCCATCTGTACGTAGCTCCTCAAGTTGCGGAAGGTTTGCTGTTTCTCTTTGGGAACAGACAGAAGATAAGTGCTGAACACAGCTCCGGCCAGTAGATCGGTTGTCCTCTTTCGCAGCCTATCAGCAAGCAAGGCCGCTTCGATTTGGTGTCTTTGCACAGTCATTGAACACGGCATACTTTGGCACGGCGCCTAGACGAAGCGTCTGCAATTGCAGAAGAACCTTCGTGCAAGATGACAGCATCACGTCATATCTTGACGATCAGACAAAGAGGTGCTGAGGCCTGCATAACAAGCGTTGCGAATGTCCCACATGATAATTCCTGGCATGTCGGCAAGGCATTATACTGCTGCTGAACAACCCAATTGTGCAAAAGGAATCGTGATCGCTAGCAGCATTCTACCTACTCTGCCATCGGCATGCTGCATCAGGCCTTCGACTTGGGACTCGTCAGCAAGATGGGAGTTGCTCTACACGCATGTTCCCTGATGTCCCCTGTAGGGCGCTTGTCGAAGCCAGCATACTGTTCTAGCAGCTATGCTGCTAGCCCTGATTCAGAACTCACCCAAAAGGTCGTTCAACTCGCCGGGAAATCTCCATCGACGTCTTGTGAAGCCAGGTGTTCTGGATAGACAGCGTCGAAGAGATACGACGATCTGGCAAGCTAGGTTCCAGAGATTTGCAGCCGAAACAAACAGTCGGAATTCTACGCCCTTACACTCGTCAGGCGCTTGCGTGCATGTGCACATTTGTGTTTGTTTGTGTGTGTGTGTCTGTTTGTTTGTGTACATATATATATATATACACATGTAGATACGTATGCATACATATATATATATATATGTACATGTACACATACGCATACTCATACACAAATACGCACATACATACATCCTTACCTGCATACGTACATACATACATGCATGCCCATATTTGTTGATTGTGTTGATTATTGATAGATGTGCCTGCTCAAGGTACCGGAGCTTTCGGGACAGAGAAACTGTAGACTGCTTTGGACCATCGCTGCGATTGAATGTTGGCTGTGCATAAAAAAGCGACTTCTCTTTGATTTCTACATATTTCGTGTGTGTGTGTGTGCAAATCTCACTTTGATGTATGCTACACATCTCTGGATACGCCAGACATTTTTTGAGCCTCCTACATGGATGTATTCACCCTGATTCTGATTTCGAGAAAAGCAAGCCTCAGGATCCATCCCCCTAGAATCCAACCCCCAAAACCACCTCACTAATTTCGGTCGTTCTGACAGACATGCTGTCCTCTCGTTCTTGTTGTCTGTCTACTACGGTAGTTGGGGTATTCAATTTAGGGTGTACATTGGCCTTAAACCAGGATTCTCGCGTTCTGCCTTTCCTTGAAGGGCTGCGGATTGAGCTCCGTCAGACGCATTAATATTGCACATAGTGATCATTTTGCGGTTTGCGGGCGATCAGAGGTTGTTCGCAGCCTAATTAAGTTGCATTAGCTCGTCTCATCATCCCGAAGGGTAGAGAGAGCGGGTGGTCCCAGAAAGAAGATGGAGCACTGAGCTGTATTGCTCGCCCCTCTAGGGCGGCATCCCAGGCTTTCCGCAACTGTTCCGGGAGCAAAAGCCAGTAAGATGAATCGACGGTTGCTACATCCGCTAGCCTACTATCCGACAACAAAGCAACTTCCCAGTCGCCCGACAGGCTAAGGCTAGCATCAGGGGTCACGTCTTTCGAGCACGGGCACAGAGCTGCCCAGTCCACATTCCCGATCTCCTGCAGGAAGGTTCTGAGCGTGGTCACCTCAGGCTCGTTCTCACTGGGGCTGTCCTTCCATGGATGTGTCTCGAAGTGTTCCAGGGCTGCGCAGAGCGACTGATAGACCTCGTCACTCCAGTAGTCCGCAACTCCAGCACTTCGTAGCTCGCGGGCTTCCGTGGCCGTCAGCATTGCAATCTCCACCATCTCGTACATGTAGAGGGGGAACCGCTCGAAGACAGCCTGGATCTGCAGGACAATGTCAGCCACCGACGTGGACAATCCTTCTGTCTGCAGTGAGTCACATAGCTCCGCGTAGGCTCGCTCCATGGTGGTGTCCCACACCTGGTGCTCCTCGACTGGCAGCGGGTCTCGCACTTGTTGGGATACTGCCAGAGTGAAGTCCTCCTCCGCTTGTTGGCGCCATGCCCTGCTGCCCAGCCCGGGGGCTGTGCTGGCGGCCCTGTAGCCTTCTTGGTGTAGGACCCTTGTGCACTGTTGGTTGTCGCGTAAGTGGATCGCCAGCTTGTTGCGGGCCCAAAACTCCTTGCCGCAGGCACCACAGTAAGTTCCAGCAACCACCGCGCGGTATTTTGCGCAGCGACCGTGCACCTTAAAGAAATGCGCTCCGAGCGCCGCCTTCGTTCGAAGGCGTTTGCCGCAGGGCCTGCATGTCCAGTCTCGTGTAGCCGAGCTCGCAGCGGGCCTTCTCATCCTGGCCCTTCGCAGCATCGCTCAGTGGCAGAGCGCCGTGCGATGCTCTTTGTGGCTCTGGGCGGTGTCCTTCACCATCTGGGCATGCACGCGCCGCTTGACCCATGCCGTAGAATCACGCATGAGCTGTTGCCAGCGGTGCCAATCGCCAGCGCCACAAGTCGGCCATGACCCTGCGCTGGACGTCAGCCAGGCCAGATCTTCTCGTACCGCTCGAAGCCATTCCGTTTCCCCTTGTAGCACCGCCCATAGTGCAAGGGGTGCCGTCTGTGCCATACTACAGAGTAGGCTGATTCTCGCCTTTCTTGCCAGGGCCTCCAGTGTAGGTACACCGGTGAGTATGTGCACTGCAGGGGTCGCAACCTTGTAGAGCATGTCTCCTTTGTAACGCTTGGCCAGGAGACCTCGCAGTAGCCGGGAGAAGCCCGCGTCCAGTATAGCCCACGCTGTATTCTCCCTCGTCCACAGGGCAAGGTTGAAGAAAGTCGCCGTAATCGACGTACTGAACAGCGAGGCTCGAGTCCGGAGGGGGATCGTCTCGTTCCCAAAGAGGAGGGCCTTGCCGGAGTCGAAAGCCGCCTTTGCCATGCTCAGGCGCCGTCTGGCTTCTTGCTGGAGCCGCATATCCGGGTTGACCAGGCCACCCAGATGTATGTAGTGGCCCGCGATAGTGACCTTGAGGTCCAGGTCGCTCAATGTAAGTGCTCGCAATCCTCCTTCGAAGCATGTCTGCCGGACCTTTCTGGCTCCACGGCCCCGCACCGCCATAATGAAGGCCGTTTTCCGTGGCTTGAGGTTTGGCTGCATGCCATGTTTGATGAAGTAGTCGAGCACAATTGAGGCAAGCCGACGAGATTTAGCAACCAACACCGAAGGACTGGCGTCAGACAATGGCACAGCTGTATCATCGGCCCAGGTGCAGTCCTTGGCTAGCAGCTGAACAGGCAGCGACGCAGTCGTAGACATGCCACCGAAGGGGCCCTGCTCTGGCCATGCTTCCAGCTCTGTGAGTAGCTCCTCCGCCGTGGCAATTTCCATGATCTGGGTCAGGATCTTGCTAAGGACAAAAGAGAAAACAATGTCCGCCCACGTTTCACCCGGTCTGGAACCAGCATGTGTGCGGCACAGCTGGGAGTCCGTACCGTGCCTGGTGATAAACCAGGAACGATGCAACAGGTCCTTGGCCATGTGCCGTAGCGAAACCGGGATCCCAGCATCCCCCATCATGCCTCCCTCACGGATGAGTGCTGCAAACTCGTGAACATCCTCAGGGGCTAGGTCAAAGAACTTAAAGACCCGTGCAACGGCGCCGTCGTCGGCAACTTGTCCAACCGATAGCTCGCGAATCACTCTGTAATAAGCAGCTGTGGTATCAATAAACAAGATGGCAGACGAGTGCTGGAGCTGCTGCGCCCGCCGTAGGAAACCGTGCACGTACAGCGCCGGGTAGAGGACCGGGGCTCGCTGTTTTGCGCCGAGATGAAACTCGTGGAGGGCTGCACTGACATGTGGAGCTGCTCGCCGCCGTAGTAGCCGGTGATAGCACTTTCCCAGCTGTGAAGAGATGAACAGTGACCTGTAGTTCTGCGGGTCGTCCGAGGGTCCCGCTCTCTTCCAGGATTCTTGGAGGATTCCCCCCCTCCATTGCACTGGCTGGCAAAGTGCTGCCATGCTTTTGAAGACCAGAGGATATACAGCCGCCGCCATATTCGGGGGGGCAGCAGCTAGTATTTCCCCCGGCAGTCCATCCAGTCCTACGGCTTTTCGCCGCGAGGCCCTCCGCAATGCTTCCTCCAGCTCCTGCAGGGTAGGGAGATCCTCGGTGCTCCACGGGATCTCTGCATCGCATAGTACTTGTTGACCGCCTTCCTTCAGGTACTGCGCAGTAGCCACCACGTAGCCCATCTCCTGTCGCCCAAAGTGAGACAGCCAAATTTTGTCTCTATCCTTCCAGGACTCCGCGGGCTTGCCGTCAGCAGCCTTGAGCGCCGGGAGGGGCCTCGCCACCCACCGCGCTTGCCTGCCTCCGACCCCCGCAGCCTTGGCTCGGCGGAGAACGTCACAGGCCTTGTCGCCTTCCTGGTGGACCAGGCCCTGGAGGTAGTGGGCCTTTGCCGCGTAGATGCCTTTCTTGATCCTGTTGGTGGCCCAGCGAACGGCTCCGGCCACAATGTCGTAGAGGACGGCTTGCTTGGCAAGGAGCTGGGCAACGCCATAGTCTTTGCCAGTTTTCCACTGAAGGAAAGCCCTTGCCAGCAATGCCGTCCAGAGTTGGCGGCGATGGCGGGCCTTGTACTTCAAGCCCATCTTCTGCTGCCGTAACTCCCAGATGCTGTCATTGATGTAGGTGGCACGTGGGCCATCCGTAGTGACAGCAAAATACTTGGCCATCACGGTGTGCAGGTAATCTTGGAGATGTTGGCAGTGGTCGTCAGGGTGCACATGCCATCCGGGTGGGCTGTATTGCCGCAGTGCATCGGAGATCAGCTTGCGGCCCTCCGCAGTGACCATCTTTTCGGTGTCGTACTTGGGCCTGTGTAGTCGTCGGGTGTGTCCCTTCGTCGTCCAAGTGGCCGTTACGTCGATGGCAACCGGGGAGTGGTCCTCGTTGGGGTTGGCCACGTCGAAGTCCTCCTCCACCCAGCTGCATATCTCACTGATCTCCATGGTTCCGCCCGTGCCAATGTAGTCAATACGGTGGTCGGCCCCATTGGCCTGTCGGTACGTTGTGGTAGTACCCTGGTGGAAAGCACTGAAGGTGGAGGGAAACCAAACATTGATGGCTTTTGCCACAGAGAGCATGCCACGTCCATTATCATCGGCTTCACCATGCCGTAGGCTTCCAGTAATTCCCTCATGGCACGTTGGGATCCTCCCGTTGAGATCAATGCCCATGAGGATTACCGCTGTTTCACGGTACGGCTGCAGCAGAGACTGAAGTCGATCCAGGAAATCTTTGGCCTCGCGCGGGTGGGCCGAGTGCGGGCAGTGCCCCGATACAAGCAGCACTTGCCGGTCCGCGACCTTGACTGATAGTATGAGGAGTCTAGGCGCTTCATGTACAAGCAGTATGTCCTCTGCTTGTACAATGCATGGGCAGCCGTTTCTACTGCAGATGCCCTTGGTTCGGCTGATCCAGATTGCCGTTCCCCAGTGCTTGGCCGAGGCGGTGGCCAGGCGGAGGTATCGCTTGCTGGAGCAGAGGCCAGCTGCACCCCTGGTTTCCTGGAAGCAAGCGATGTTATAGCCGAGGTGGTCGAGCTGGTCCTCAAAGTATCTGCTCTTGCCGCTGAGTGTCTGGGCATTCAGACTGAGGATCTTAGTCTCGATCCTCTCAGTCGCCGATGCTGTACCATTGCCCTTGGTGGGGATCAGCTGCTCAGGCTTTAGCGTCGAGTGGTCCCACTGGTATTCCTGTGCCCATGCAAAACCTTGGCCTGCTTGGATAGGCAGCGTATCCCCCGAGAAGATAAGGGGGAGCCAGCTCAGGTCGCAGTGCTGTAGGACATCAATCGCAGCCGGCGGTGGCTCCTTCATGCATATGGTCGCCTGCGCGGCTTGTTTTGCAAGAACATCCACCATTTCATTGAAAGGGTTCCCTGCATGGGCTTTGGTATGTGCAAACCGGATAGGTGCTGACAGGAGCCGACTTAGCAGTTGTTCCAGCACGCGGGTTTTCTCCGAGAAGCCGTTGACGGGGCTCCAGGTACCCTCGGCCGGCCATCCAGCTGCATAGCAATCGAAGAAGAGAATGATCTGGCCGAAGTGTGCATAGTTGCAGCCCTGGAGCAGCCATAGCATTGCCGCGGCAATGGCAATCTGCTCATTTTTGAGGGCCGGCGTCGCCTCAAAGGTCCATGCCGTTGCAGGGTTCCCTTGCGTTTGTGCTCCAATTGTCTCATAAAGAGCAGAGGCACTGGCTGTGACCAATAATACAACCACAGCGTAGCCCCCGAGTTTCTTTGTTTCACACCAGGAGCCATCTGTGTAGATGTGTAAGTCTGGAGCACCTCCGGATGGCACACTCCTCCAGAGCGCCGCAGGGGGTATGAAAGCCTTCATAGCCTCCACAGTCTCTGCTTTGAAAGTGACCGCGTCAAGATTGGCGGGGTCCTCACTGATGGGCCACGCAGCCAGGAGCTTGCTGATATCCTCTGCTTTGTGTGGAAATCCAACATAGTTCTGGGTCATGTCATAGCAAGGCGGGTCCACCAGTTCGCGGAGCTTGATAGGGCAGGCTCCTGTGGTTGCATGTTCAACGGACTTTGCAGCCTCGCCGTCAGGGGCCTGGGAACGTCGCCGCGGTGACCTGCTCCGATTGACTGGGAGTGGGCGCGGTGGGCCCCTTGGAGGATCACCCGGCTGCAGGACCACTGGTTCATCACCCTCACTGAGTTCGCTCGACCAGGGTTCAGGGTCTCCCCAGCCGTCTGAGGAGTCGCCGTCCTCCTCGTCGGAGCTGGACGATGTAGTTGTGGACTCGTGGAACCACATTGTCAGCGTCTCCTGGTGCCGAACCCGTAGTAGGTCTCGCCGGTGGGGTTCCCCTCCTTGTATCGCCAGGGTCCACTCCTCTGTACCAGGTATCTGGAGATCCTGGATGTTCGACTTGGGGTCAAAGATCCCCGAGCCCGCCTGGAACCATTGGGGGAAGTACGTGAGCGGGCGTAGATCCACAAAGACGATACAAGGCTCCTCTCCTTCCATGGCTGTTGCCGGCATAACAGCAACCTGCTCGAAGATTCGCCTGCCGCCGTGGGCTAGCCTCTCTACCCTTTTGTCCGGGAGGTAGACCAATGTCTCGCCATGTTCCCATTCCAGGGCGTTCTCCGCAGCAATTTCCAGGGGCTCGATGTCATCAGCGTCAATCTCCTCAATGACCTGGTCGTCTGCAGACTGGAACACTGTGTGCAGCTCCTCGAGGCAGGTCGGGGGGTCCATGTGCTGGTTCCAGCGGTGTCGGTGCAGCAGCCGCTGCTCAATGTTGTCCGACCATTGGTTCGGATGCCCTCTGGGGACCACTCTGATCACCCCTCCGGTGATAGGCTGCCGGCTGTTGCCCGGTCGTAGGGGCGTGTCGCCGCCAAATGTGTAGATGTCAACTTCCCGGTCGAGGAACTGGGGAATTTGGTGCATCACTCCGGCGCGGTTGATGCGCCCCTCCAGGTAGCACACGAACACAGTTCCACCGATCGGTCTGGTGTCCATGACCAAGGCGAACCGGTCTGTGTTGCGCAGCCAGGAAGGCTGTGCAATGAAGCTGCCATAGAAGCCGTCGAGCTGCGGAGTGGTCGGGTAGATGTCGTCGAACTGATCCGGGATCACCGCCGCCGCGCCCTTTAAGGCTTCTTTGATCTGCCCAACTGCCAATGGGAAGGGCATTTCTATGTCAATAACTTCTGTTTCATAGAAGGCAGCTCCGAGCCAGAATGTCGCGTGTATAGTGTGCTCGTCCATGGTGGGCGGCATCACGTCGACGTGGTCGCCCGGTGGTCTGGCCTGATAGGCTGCCGTGGCCGCAACACCCGCATTGTGTTCTAGCGGCCGTTCCACAGCCCAACGGGCTATTGCAGCTTCCATCTGTTCGCGGAGGGTCTGTTGTCCGGCCATCCACGTCTCCAAGTCACTCGGTAGAGGGATCCCCTTGTTGGTGGTCATCCGCGGAGGATCCTTGACTGCTCCAGCATGTCCCACGACCATGTAGAGCATGAAGGCTTTGCAGAGGCACCTCGGCGCTCCCCCAAGCTGAGCCAGCCGTCCAGCCCGTCCATGAGGCAGCATCTGACCCATCAAGATCTGCACCAGGGCTGTGAGGCAGACTGCCAGGAGAGTGGCACCGACGCCTCTGCATATGTGGGCCCATGTCAGGGCCTGCACCTCCACAGCATCGCTGTAGAGATCATTCACTTTCGCCCACCAGTCCATGAAGTCATAGATTATGGGCTCGCCGCTGCTCAGATGAGGTTCCCGGCCGGGCCTGTCCCCATCCGCATCCACATCAAAATCTGCAGGAACGGACCGAAAAAGTCCTGCTGTGTTGTAGGGCACTGCATCATCCACTCCGGGAGGTCCATAGTGCCGCCGTTCATAAAGGGGGAGCGTCCGTTCCCCGTTGCCTGAGCGTCTGGGTCGGCGGGACCAGGCTGGTCCCTTCAAACGCCCAGGCCTGCAGGGTCCCCCTTTATAGAAGGCGGGCTTACCCCGCGCCTCCGCCTCCTTTCTTCTCGCCCGCGGGTGTGCGCGCGGTGAGCTCGGTCAAGACCTCGGACTCTGACACGTCCTCGTCGTCGGTGAAGATCTGCTGCGCGTCTTCCGCGATGGAGGCCTTGGCTCTCGCCTGTTCGAGCTTCTCCGCTAGGTTTGTGCCCGGCTTGGGACTGGGCAGCGGGGCTCGGCTCTTCATCTTGATGCCGGTGCGCGGTGTCGAGCCTCTCGCCCTCCGGGTCGACTCTTCCATGATCGCTGTCCCGTTGCTGGTGCCTGGCGACGTGACATAAGGGTCTTGTGTCACCGAAGCACCAGTGATGCCGAGGTACGCCGCCTCCTGCTGGTGCTTGGCGACCGCAAGGGCCTTGTCCATGAACCGATCCAGGGACTTCATGGCTCCCCGTGTCGTGCTCGTCGTCGGGCATGGCGGAGTCCGCGGTGTGCTGGTAGTCTGTCTCCTTGGCGGTGTAGACATGTGCCGGCCCAGGAGTTCCTGCAGCTGGCGGCCCAAACGCCGCGCCGCATCCTCTGCCATCTCCTCGTCCTGCTCGCCGTCGCACTTGTCCAAGAGGTTCTGCCACTCCTCCAGGGCATCCTCCGGGATCACGGCCTTGCTCGGTGCCTCCTTGGTCAGCAGCTCGGGGTTGGCAATCGCCGTCTGCAGCTCCTGTAGCGCATCTGCCTGTAGAGCTTGCTGCTGCTCGATCTCCTCGTCGAGGCGGGCCATGTCTTTCTTGAACTGGCCACGCTCTTTGATAAAGGCTTGTTGGAGCTTGTCCTGGAACTTGTGCCACCGGGCCTGGGCCGCCTCGCGCTCCTCGGTCGCCTTGCGAAGCTTCACCTCGGCTCTGCGGACCACGGTTACCAACTTCTGGTAGCCCTTTGCCAACTCGACCCTTTGGCCTCCACGTGGCTCCTCCGATCGGGCAGGGCCCGGCTTCGCGCTGTCGTCCTCCGCCTCCATCATGGCATACGATGGGAAGGAGGGCTCCTCGTCCTTGGCTCTGCGCGGCTGAGTCCACTCTCTGTCCCATGCCTGCGCCGAGGATGACAGCTGTTGCCGCCAGCCATATGATCCATTGTCTCCAGCCCATTGCTGGTTTCGCCATGAACTGCCCTGCTGCTGTCGACCAGCTTTGCCTCTTCCCATGGAGCTTCTGCACTCGCGATATGCCGGCTTGCTGTGGTGGGCCGAGAGCAGGCAAAGAGCCCGTCTCGGGGGAGCCAAGCCCTTGGCCCTCGCAGTGTGTACAGCTCGACGTGCCTTCGACCTTCGGAGTCGTTGGCGACGGTGCCAGGGGGGCGATGCAGGCACAATACTTGCAGCGTGCACAATGCACTGGGGCTCTAGCTATGCGGGGTCCGCTGTAGGCCCGCTCGATCCAGTGCCCTATAATGATCATAGGAACATATAGGAAGTAAGTGTCCTGCTCACTTATGTAGTGATCCCTCACAAAGACAGCTTAGCCAACGGGACTTGGGAGCTTCCTAGTACAGCCTGACATACTCTACACCTGACTGTCTTCAGTGAATGTAATGCATCTGCCTGAAGTGTATATACATAAGAGCAAGGATTCACTGCCGGTGACATCAACCTCCACTGAAACCTACACAAATCCGAACACAACCAAAACCTCAACTCCGCACTCACTCTAAACCCAACGCCACAGAACCCCCCCTGAAACGGAACTAGGCGGGAGTGCCCGAAGCTGTGACGCGACGGCGCATTTCTTCGCCGTGGCCTCGAGGACGGAGATTCCCGAGAACGTAGTGGATCGTAGTGGGCGTGTTCGGTATCAGGGATTCGTGCTGTTCGGGCTTTGTGCAGGTCGCAAGCAGTTGAGTTTGATAGCCTCTGATTCTGCAGGTCTCCAAACTTGTCTATCGAATCTGACTGGATGCCAACAGCCGTGGAAGCTCGCAGTTTCCGCAGCGAGAATTCCCAGCAGACATAATCCGTAGCCCAAACACCCATGCACGGTCCTGTTCTCAGATTGTGGGTTTCGGAAGAAATCTCCCACCATCCACAGAAGACGAACCTTTCACCTTGCGCCTTTCTTGCAAGATGTAAAGCAGCTTTTGGGGAATCGGAAGATCCAAACACCGCTAACGCCCAAGGCGCTGGCTACAGTCAGATGCAGGAAACAAAAGAAGGAAACAGCCTGGCACTCAGCAGCTCGCTGGGGATTCCGGGAGGGAAAGCACGCGTGATCCTAGACGAGCCCTCTACCGATGCGCAGTGAGCTGCCCAGTTGGCAAAGGTTCTAGTGCATTGCACGGAACGACAGACTACCTTGCTCGGACACCACCTATTCAGGATGGGAGTCATCACTTCTGACGATGAGTGCCGGAACATGTAGTTTAACTGAACATCTCGGGCTCTGCAGGTTTGGTATGATCGTTGGTACCGGGTACTGCTGTTCTTGACTATATGCATGGAAACCTCGCGCAACTACGAGGCAGTAGAGCCAATGAAGCCGGCTGCACATTCTCTGCGATTCGCGCAGTCTTTAAGTGGCAGATGAAAAGCCGTTTACTGAAAAGACGATGTGCAGCATCGTGCGTGGTGCATCTTAATCCGGGGACGTCGGTCCTCTCCGCACATGCTGAACTGCACAGAAAGCCACCCATCGCATCCACAGTCCACAACAATAAACCCTACATCCAATCCTCTGAACTCCAACTCTGCCAAATCGAGCCGGCACGGCAGCAGTAAGGAGGAAAGTTATGTACAGTCCTGCCGTCTTTGGCAAGATGCCTGCGCAGTGCGACGTGGTGCCAGTGGCATGTGGGGTCTAGGCTTCGGGTTTTAGGTTTAGGGCATAGCCGCCTGCAAAAACACAAACACACCACGACAACCCCTAAACAAACAAAGCGACGACGTTAACAAGGAATGCAAGGTTTAACAAAAGCCCTGAACCCTAAATACCTCCTAAATGCCGAATCCTAAGACCTGAAGCCCTGACCCCATATATATAGATATAGATATAGATATAGATATAGATATAGATATAGACATAGATATAGATATAGATATAGATATAGATATATAGATATATAGATATATAGATATAGATATAGATATAGCGCCCTGAAGCGACCAGAACCCTAAGCGTAAGCTCTGAACCCTAAACTCAGGATTCTCCAAAGGACGGTGCCAATCTTGGACGAAACTCTTTAGCTTTGATTTTGGAGTCCCCATGGATGCTTCTCTTCATGCTTCCTGAACTCGCATACTCATGGAATGCAGGCTGCCACATCCTAAAGAAGATCCGTACTGAAAACATAGCGTTGCAAGGCTTGGTTGGGGCTCATTTGGTTGTTGGTGCTTTTTGTCCTTGGGCACCAAAATGATATATGAGACGACACCACTTAGAACATGAGCAGCAAAGTCGGATTGAGCTGGACACGGATATCTTGTTGTCCAATGCTAGGGAAACCGCAAGACTCGAATATGTCTGGAACAGCTTGCCCGACTTTGCACCAACAACGGCGGCAAACAAAGTGTCACGGCATACCATGGCATGAAAACATAAATGATGACGCAGGATTAATGTTTGCGTGCGTGTGTGTGTGTGTGTGTGTGTGTGTGTTTTAAACCCGTTTTTGGCAAGGATTTCATGGTTTGTTGTAGGCTGACCCGGTTTTTAGCGGATGGCCTCTGGAATTGACAGAGTTTTCGCTTGGATGTGCGAAAGCGGAAGAGACGCAACTTAAAGAGGCATCAATGTGGCCTTGTTGAATTGAAACCTTCAGGGGCTTTAAGGAATAAGGGTTCCGTACCCTTTTTCTCTTAACTTTGTAAGCTGGGCTTCGTGCTTTTAGGATTTTAGGGTTTAGGAGTGCCGCTTTAACTGACAGCAGTGAAGGGCATCCAGGAGTAACAAGGGGTTGGGCTTACGACATCAAGGTCTCGGCGCCTGAGCAGTCTCGGGCTTGGCTTTAGGTTTTACGGTTTTCGGGCTTCTAGGGTTTGGGGATCTATGTGGTCTGTTTTCTTTTAGGGTTTGAGCCTCTGTCTGCAACTGCTCTTGACCCCCAGTGGATGTTGAAATTGTCGTTCACGCAGTAGTCCCAAGCAGGCTCTGCGCCTGAAGCAGCAGAACCGAAGAACAACTACGAGCAAGAAGCCCGCAAAAAGTTCAGTTCAGGGTTTACGGTTTAATTTCGGGCTTCATAGTTTTAGATCTTTAGGTGATTATGGTCAATCGGTGGCGTATACTAACACGCACGGACTTTGCTTGATTTTCCAATATTGGCCAAGCAGGATGTACGATGTGAGACTGACACTGAAAAGCCTTCTCCCAAACCCTAAACATTCAATGGCTACGGGCTTAAGTCATTGTTCTGACCACGTATTATCAGGACACATTCCTAGAAACCGTAAACACAAAACGACCACAAGCGCACACACACACACAGACACACTTTCACTCACTCAACCCCGGATCTACGCTGGGGACTTTTCAAGCCCTATAAAGCCCTGGACTGACCGAACTCGGTGTTCGAAGCCACCGGTTGTCCCCAATCTAAATTCCGTGGTTTGGGGTTCGGAATTTACGGGTGCAGCGATTTTTCGGGTGTAAAACGTTGGGTAGCACCACTTTTGAGGGACTACACATCCAAGATCTTGCAGCATTTTAAGAGAAATACCAGGCTATTTCGGCGTGTTTAGGGTTCTTTGTTCAATAGCAGGATTGCGTGGAATACGCAATACCGGCTCTCGCCCAAGAGCACGAGCCCTAGCTGGATTCCCTTTCCCGGACCCCGAACCCTTCAAAGGCACTCCCGCTTCCGAACAAAACACCCAGTTGAGTCGCACTGCCTACTGCCCGAATTCAAAACTGTGAATGCCAAAACACAACATCGGAACCCTGCACAATAAATCCTTGTAGCCCTAAAACCTTCAATCCCGAAAGCCCTGGACACCACTGAACCTTCAAGCTCTGGTCCTCGGCATTGCACATACAGACCCTGACCCTGAATAGACAGACCCTTCTTAACGGGGACCTTAATCACGGAGATCTCCAAATTACAAAACACTAAGAGACAAGACAACACCCTATAACGCCCTACACAAACCCCACCTGCCCCCATCACAAAAACACAGCACCCTCTGGCGGTTGTTTATAAGCCCGGGCGCCCCAAAAGTCGTGGGCTTCTGGAGGGCAAGACTGCGGATCTACCTCCCATGGCTTTGAACGGGTCGAATCTTTTGCTTGATTTGCTTTTAGACAGATCATTGTCTTTTGTTGCTGTTGTTGTCGTTGGTGGTGGTGGTGGTGGTGGTGGTGGTTCTGGTGGTGGTGGTGGTTCTGGTGGTTTTCTGTTGCTGGTATAATGGTTTGCCCAGAAACCCCTAAACCTAAAGGTATTTAAGGCGCTGTGGTAGGATGGAGTGGGGTTTAGGCTAGGCTCTAGGGTGAGCAACCCCTACTGACCTACTTGTAATTCAACTATTTCGATACTATAGGTCGTTATTGCGTAGGAAGCTAGGAGGAATCGTTAGGAGAACCCAGTGCGGTACGGTTTACTCCGTGGAGGCTCATGAAGCCCCATAACTACATGACGAATGCAGACCCTCAACTGGACAGCCCAAAGGCCTTAACTTGAGGCTCACACACAAGTTTGTACCATATATATATATATATATGTGCGTGTGCATATACAGTATAATGTATATATATATATATATGCTACATATCCATACACATCTACGTATATGCATGAATACGTCTTTGTCTACCAAGTCCACTGGTCTTGAAATAAGTGTTCGGGGCTGCAAGCATGTCGACCCTTTTTATGATAAGTGTTGACTGGCTTTTAAGGCTCTGGTTTAAGGTTCCAGTGGTTGTGTGTTTGAACTCTTTAAATATTCAGCTTCTTAGGTTGAAAGTTGACGCTCGAGGGCAAATCCCCAACCCAGGCTTCATTGTCTGAATCCTTAGCGAGTTCCTGCACTCGGCTGCTTGAAACCATTCGAAAGAAGCACAGCGATGTGCAGAATGGGTTACTGGACTTGACTATGCTATGCTATACCATACCACACTGTACTCTGTACTATACAATACCATAATCTGTTTATATAGGGACTGTAACTTACTGCGACTACATAATATGCAGCTGGGCTTTTGCAAAGCAGAATTGGCC